GCTTCTTTGAAAGGCAGCAGACTGACTGTGCTGGCTGCTGAAAAGAGAAATCTGCGTGCAGAAAGTGGGGTGAAGCTGATATTCAACATCAAATTCCTTGGAGAGAAAAGATCAGCACAAAGTCAAAACTTGAGGACTGCTCATAGAGCTCCTCCTACCAGCAAGGCTCTCCTTGCCACCATAATTTCTATTACAGCACTAAATATTAACAAAGTGTGTAATTGTGGAGTATTTTTAAATTTAAAAATCAGCACTTTCACTTTTCCTTGTAGTGTGGCAAGTGGACAAAGCAAAAAAAAAAAAAAAATCATCTGGAAAACATTTCTCCTAGTTTTATAGGAATAATTGGTAATCTGGGGGAAATAGTTTGAAGAAAAATGGAAGGGCAAAGTCTGATGTTTGATTTGAAATTAAATAGAAAGGAATTAATAAAACCAAAACCAACCAAACACCAGCCAAACCTCACCTTTCTTTAATATCCAGATATTGTTACCAATTCTGTCACTTGTTAGTTCACGAAAACTTTTTAATTAGAAATATAAAAATGGTAATTTCACAGTGAGAATAAAATGGGATCCTTAACAAAATGTCACTACCTGTATGCTGCTTGTTCAGAGCAAAGTGTTATTTAAAATCAACTGTGGCTGACTTTTTATTATAGGTGATCTAGAAAGCAGCTCACCAGAACAAAATGTGTGCCCTTAGAGATGTATCCCAAACATCACAAGAAGCCATGGTTGTGATATTCTGCATAATTTCCTAACAAATTAGTATTAAAATCAAGAGATCCCTGTTGAACATGAGATTTTAAAACAGCAGTAAGCTGGAATTTTCACAGTCAGCTTTGGAGGGGAGACGGGGAAAAAAGGAAATGAAAACTACCTAACCTGATAAAGCCTCAAAGGAGGCTGTGTTTCCAGAGCTGCTGCCTGCCTTAGATCCCTTGCCTTGGGTAAATTTGGTCTGGGTTTGCTGGATTTCAGTCTGAGATCAGTTTAGGAAACATAGTGGAAAAACAACAGGTTTCCCACTGGTTTATTTATGGCACGTTCAGCAGCGTGGCTCAGTGGTTTGTACTGAAAGCTGTAACATGTGATAGGAAAAGTGCCTTCGTATTTCCCCTTATCCACCAGACAGCCACCATGTAAAGATAAAATTCCTTCCTGCACACGAGATGACGTATCTGAAAATATGTCCATTTTGTTTTCCTCCTGCTAGACTAAACAACTTGCCAGTTCTGTTACTTTCCAGAACTCATTCTCTCCCATTAAGATTTGTTTCTCTTGAAATGCCTGGAAATGCAGTGTGTTCCCCAAGGGTTGTAATGAAGAGATCACCAGAGTTCTCTGCCTTCTCCTGCAGCACCATGGCCTTGCTGACTCACTCCCAGCTTGTGATCATCTATTTCTGCCCAAGGAACTGCTTCCAAGTCAGCTGTTCCCCATCTACTTCTCCTGATTGCTCTTGTCCAGGTGGGCAACCCTGCTGGTCACAGAATCCAAGAATCCCAGGATGGTTTGGCTGGGAAGGATCTTAAACCTCATCCAGTGCCACCCCTGCCACGGGCAGGGACAGCTCCCACCGTCCCAGGCTGCTCCCAGCCCCATCCAGCCTGGCCTGGGACACTGCCAGAGATCCAGGGGCAGCCACAGCTGCTCTGGGCACCCTGGGCCAGGGCCTGCCCACCCTCCCAGCCAGCAATTCCTCATTCCCAATGGGCCANCTCCGTGGCCTCCTCTGCACTGGCTGCAGCAGCTCCAGCTCCTTCTCATGACTAGAGCCCCCAAAATACACAGACGTTTTTCATGTCTCTTGTGCAGTTTCTCCTGAGACAGCAGCCTCATGTCTTGGCTCTCCTCTCTCGCCATTGTGATTAATTTAAATTCATGCTGGCACTAAGTTCTGCAGCCTGGAAGTCCCACAGATGTTTCATGGTGGAGCTTTAAGCACCGTTGATTCATCATTCACATACCTGTGACACAACACATGTTTCTGTTTCATCCATGTATCTCCCCATGGAATTCAATGGCAGCAAGATGCAAATTTCTAGCACTGGCACATAAAATTCAGGTAGTCCTTGATAATTATTTGACTCTGAGCTTCAGGGGAGGACTGAGAGTTTTGAGTTGGAGAGTGAAAAGAGCTCTTTGAACTTTCCGAGCGAATGAAGGAGGCAGCTGATGGGACAGGTCTGCCTTTGGCTGTGGCTGGCAGTGTCAGCTGCGTGCATGAGTCCTGCTTGGTCACTGTGGTGCAGATGTGGAAGTGCAAAGATCAGAGTCCTTCCCCAACCACGTCTGAGCCAGGCGCCATCCGACAAATGCTCCTTTTTACCCCAAATCCCCACTGTGGAAGGGGGTGGGAGGGTGGAGGATCAGCTGCTTCCCTCTCTCCACACCCACGGGCGAGCAGAAAAGATCTTTTTCTCCTTCCTTTCTCTCAGCCTTGAAAGAGCAAAGGGTGACTACAAAAAGGGAACATGGTGTGAGGGAGGGGGTGAATAATTCCAGCGTGATTAAGACAGACCAAAGCCTACTAGTGGATTTACAGCTTTATTTTTATAGAGCTGCCTGTGGTCCTTCCCTACCTCACTGCCCCAAGAGCCGATCCATATCAGGAAACATCTCCTTACTCTCCCTGTGTGGTCCAGGTTTCACCAGGAAGACTGTACATCTCCAAGCTGCTTTATCTGTATTTTGTGATTAGAAGGGGATATAACAGAGAAGCTCACCAGGCATCGTTTGGGGTTTCACCACCTACATCCTGCCTGGCTGTTCTCAGCCACAGCTCACACAGTGGGTGAGATCAGCAGTGAGGTAAAAATTCCCCTCCCAGCAAATCAGATCCCTGAAGCAGAGCAGAGCATCAGGCTGCAGCTCCCTGCAGGCACAGCTTCGGGGCTGGGGCAGTGCTGCCTGTGGCAGAGTGATGAGGTGTGGCAGAAATCAGAATTCCAAGCTAGTGACATGGATCCTTGCACACGAACACTCCAGGGAAATGCTGCCCTGCTGACCTCTCTGCTGTCATGGGATGGAGAGCCATGCACAGTCCTTCCCTTCCTAATCCAACTCCAGGCAGGAACAATTTCCCTACAGCAAAAATGTGAATATTTGTGCTGGGAAACACACTTGTTTTCATGCCTGAGACAAGAACTGACTGTGTAACCCAGCTGGAGTGTTTAAAGAGGAAGTGAAAGTATTTGAGTTTTTCAAACTTGGCTACCTGCTAAACTTATGATGTCAATAGAAGATTATTTTATTATTTTTAGCTAGAAAGCAATCTCTGCTGACTGTAAATTTTCCTTCCTGTTATTTTTACATTAGTCTTTTCAACAGACCCAAATGACTCCAAGAAATAAGGTCATGTACTATGAAGATGCTTCTGTGTCATCCTCATGTGCCAATCATGGGAGACTGATTGTCTGTCCTCCTTGCAGTGGGAGCACCAAAATGTCCAGCACAATCAGCAGCTGGCACAGCAAAAGTAGGGGAAAAGGGCTAAAGTCAGTGGGAGAATGAGGAAAGGACAGGTTACACAGAGGTTTTATCAACTGATGGCTTTCAAATTAATTCGGTGGTATGGGCTTTTTCCCAGAAAACTTAGAAAGCGAGTCTAGCCATCTAAGAACTGTTTGGAGTGGGGCTTTTGGAAAGGAGGTGAGGTGCTGGCAGACTGAGGAAAAAAACCAAACACTTGGAAATTACAAACCAGTTAACTTCAGTTCCTTATTAACAACATCAAAGAGACCATGGAATAAGTAATTGGGAAATCACTTGCAGACAAGAAGAAAATACAGAGACAAATACCAGGCAACATAGATACATCAAGGACAAACTGTTTCATGTTAATTACATTTCCTTCTATGATGGGTAACAGGCCTTGTGGGGAAAGAAGCAGTATATTTAATGGAATAAGGCCTCTAACACCTCCCCATGCCCCACAGCACCTTCATCCCTGTGGCCTGTCCTGAACAACCCCTGGGTCCCCCACCCGTGGCTTGGTGTCACCTGGGTTACTGTCCCACCCCTTGGGGGTGTAAATTTCAGTAATAACCTGGAAAAGAGAACAGAGAATTTTTTATGTGATGAGGACATGGAGGTGTTAAGGACAAGGACTGCAACAGAAATAGAGTTGCCAAGAGATCTGGAGGACTAGGAGGAGAGGGTTGAAAAATCAGACATGGTGCAGAAAGGACAAGGCAGGCAGGGACAGCAGCCAGGCAATGGCTCCCAGTGCCAGAGGGCAGGGACAGATTTTGGCACATTGGGAATGAGGAATTGCTGGCTGGGAGGGTGGGCAGGCCCTGGCCCAGGGTGCCCAGAGCAGCTGTGGCTGCCCCTGGATCCCTGGCAGTG